GACGATGTACAGAGCATGACTGAGAAGGTAAGCTCTGCCTGACTCAGAACTATACGTGCAGTAGGTTACGCACGTACCGACTTTCACACACAAACACAGTCCTCACAGTCAACACAGAACACAGGCATAAACAGACACACACACACACACACACACACACACACACACACACACACACACACACACACACACACACACACACACACACACACAAATATGCCTGCATACACTCACACACACACACACACATGCATACGTACATGCACACTCACACACACACATGCATACATACACACACACACATACACACAAACACACACACATGCATACATACACACACACACATACACACACACATACATGCATACATACATACACGCACACATAGTCACATACATACAATGACACACATATTACACACCCAGGCATATTACACATCCGCACCCATGAAGTCAGTTGTTGCTGTGTGATGGCTTCAGCGAGTTCTATAAACAGACTACACTGTGAGCCGTCTTCCCATTGGTCCACGGTGAGTAGAAACAAGACTGTCAAGAAAGATGGTGAGTGAAGCTGAGAAAGAAAACAGAAGATGTGTGTACAGGTGTCCACTCAGGCGTCCCGTCTCTGTTCACAGGCTGCGTACATCGTAGCTGAAGGTTTGGCCGGTGCCATGTTCTGGACTGTGGACTTTGACGACTTTGCAGACCAAGTGTGTGGGGAAGGTCCCTACCCTCTGATCCAAGCTATGAAGGCGGGCCTGTGGAGTCCTGGAAGTCAGCCGCTGACCTTGAGCCCAGCTAACGCGAGCTTGCCATCTCCTCAATCACCCACATGGTCGCCATCTTCTACGTCCAGTAGCACGGACATCATGAGTGGCGGGCACAGCTCAACGGCCACCCCGGGTAGGTCCAAAGTGTGAGAACCTTATCTGGCAAGTTTCAGTGTAGCTCTATCCTGAAGCCAACGGCCAGCCAGATGTGAATTCCTACTCTGAGAGCATCTCTAAACTCTCATAGTAGGTTTGGTTATAGTAGGATCTCTGCCTGGCACCGTGAAAGCGTTATGTTTCTTTCATGGTATTTTACCGTTTTTAGAGAGGTGGCCTGGAAAGTCTTTGAGAGTCATATGCACACTTAACTTAAATGCACAAATACATACATAGATGAGCATAACATGGCAGCAGAAATACTGAAAAGTCAGGAATTATAATGGCTGCTCTAATGAGTTTAAGTCATTTAGCTTTCAGTCATAGAGAAGTGCATGATGGAATGTGTCACACGGTTGCTTCTCGGCCCGAAGTTTCTTTATAGACACACATGTACTGATTCATCAAAGTATTCGGACTATTGTCATCTTCTATCTACTAAAGCTTATGTTGGTTGTCTCTCTACGTGTTTCCTAAAACCGACAAGAAAAAAAATTTCCCTGGAGAGTACTAAAGAGAATGCATCAGTAAAGATAATGATAAATGTGTGTACAATCTTGCCAGTAACAGAGTGGGAGCCTTGAAGTTGTGGAAATGTCAATGTTTCGTGCACAGTGTGTAAAATATCTTGTGTTCCTCGCAGGTGTCCATCATAATGAAAGCCATCACGTGATCGCCTGCTACTTTACCAACTGGGCCCAATACAGACCTGGTTTAGGCCTCTACTCAGTGGCTAACATTGACCCCTACCTTTGTACGGACATTGTGTACGCTTTTGCCTACATCGACACAGCCAGTCTGACCCTGACAACCGTAGAGTGGAATGATGCAGGTAGGTGTCTTACATATTAGCTAAAAGATCATTTCGCTAAGAACATTCACAGGCACAGAAACACACCCACATATAAATTACACCCACATTACACACACGCACTCTCTCAGACACATACCAACACACTGACAGGTGCACAGTCTTTCTCTTTCTAATGAATTCTTCCGTTCCCCCCTCCACAAAATACACACACACACACACACGCACACACACACACAAATACATACACACGCACAAACACACACATACACTCACATACACACACATACACAAGAAATATTTACACACAAACACACATGCACATCAGCATACACTGGTGTGATGATACTGAGTTTCATCTAGTGTTGCCATCCACAGATCTGTACGCACAAGTAATGGCTCTGAAGTCTGTGAACCCCGAGCTGAAAGTGCACCTGGCAGTGGGAGGTTATTCCATGGGAACCTGGCCATTTGAAAGCATCACAGCCTCAATGAGCAACATGGAGACGTTTGCTGGGAACGCCGCCTCTTTTCTACGTACTCATGGCTTTGACGGCCTGGATTTGGATTGGGAGTTTCCAGGCGCTTCCTTCAGAAGCCAGTTTTCCCAGCTGTGTGAAGCTCTGTTCCAGCACTTTAGTGTAGAAGCTCAGGCATCTGGCAAGCCCCGCCTGCTCTTGACCGCTGCTGTGTCCGGTTACAAGACAGAGATAGAGGCATCATATGAGCCACAGATCATTCAACAGTAAGTCTTAGTTACTTGATGCTTCGTCTCACTCCATATCCACCAAGACAATAATAGTTTTCATGGTATTGTGTAGAAGAATAAATGTGTTTGTTGAAAAAGCAGCCAAAACAAGACATGTGAAGTGTCTCAAACTACAATGATGTTTTTAAGAACCCACCCCCTGCTCCTTCCACACACACAGACACAAGTACAATTATGAAGCTAGAATAGGACTGACTGCGAGATGAATTTGAAGGACGTTAGTAGGAAACTGAGACGTGCCTTTCTTTGTAATTGTCTGGTTGTCAGTATCCGTGCGTGTTAAGCTGTTGCTCAT